GAGTTGTTATTTGATTAACGGGATCACATCATTAAGTGAATGATCTGATTGACATGACCCATTCCATTAGCTTAGCACCCGATCGTTTAGTATGTTGCTATTGCTTTCTTCATGACTTATACATGTTCCTATAACTATGAGATTATGCAACTCCCATTTACCGGAGGAACACTTTGGGTGCTACCAAACGTCACAACGTAACTGGGTGATTATAAAGGAGTACTACAGGTGTCTCCAAAGGTACATGTTGGGTTGGCGTATTTCGAGATTAGGTTTTGTCACTCCGATTGTCGAAGAGGTATCTCTGGGCCCTCTCGGTAATGCACATCACATAAGCCTTGCAAGCATTACAACTAATAAGTTAGTTGTGAGATGATGTATTACGGAACGAGTAAAGAGACTTGCCGATAACGAGATTGAACTAGGTATTGGATACCGACGATCGAATCTCGGGCAAGTAACATACCGATGGCAAAGGGAACAACGTATGTTATTATGCGGTCTGACCGATAAAGATCTTCGTAGAATATGTAGGAGCCAATATGGGCATCCAGGTCCCGCTATTGGTTATTGACCGGAGATTTGTCTCAGTCATGTCTACATTGTTCTCGAACCGTAGGGTCCGCACGCTTAACGTTACGATGACAGTTATTATGAGTTTATGCATTTTGATGTACCGAAGTTAGTTCGGAGTCCCGGATGTGATCACGGACATGACGAGGAGTCTCGAAATGGCCGAGACATAAAGATTAATATATTGGATGACTATATTCGGACACCGGAAGGGTTCCGGGGAAGTTTCGGATAAAACCGGAGCACCGGGGGGTTACCGGAACCCCCCGGGGGGGTTAATGGGCCTTATGGGCCTAATATGGAGAAGAGGAAGGGGCTGCCAGGGCAGGCCGCGTGCCCCCTCTCCCCCTAGTCCGAATTGGACAAGGAGGGAGGGGCGGCGCCCCCCCTTTCCTTCTCTCCCTCCACCTCTCCTAGTTGGACAAGGAACGGGAGGGGAGTCCTACTCCCGGTAGGAGTAGGACTCCTCCTGCGCGCCTCCTCTAGGCCGGCCGCACCCCCCCTTGGATCCTTTATATACGGAGGCAGGGGGCACCCTAGGACACACAAGTTGATCCTCGTGATCGTTCCTTAGCCGTGTGCGGTGCCCCCTGCCACCATATTCCACCTCGGTCATATCGTTGTAGTGCTTAGGCGAAGCCCTGCGTCGGTAGAACATCATCATCGTCACCACGCCGTTGTGCTGACGGAACTCATCCCCGAAGCTTTGCTGGATCGGAGCCCGGGGAGCGTCATCGAGCTGTACGTGTGCTAAGAACTCGGAGGTGCCGGAGTAACGGTGCTTGGATCGGTCGGATCGGGAAGAAGACGTACGACTACTTCCTCTACGTTGTGTCAACGCTTCCGCTGCGATCTACAAGGGTACGTAAATCATACTCTCCCCTCTCGTTGCTATGCATCACCATGATCTTGCGTGTGCGTAGGAAAATTTTGAAATTACTACGTTCCCCAACATTTTCCCCCTCCTATAAAAGGGGGTCTTCTTCCCCATTGAACTTAACCTTTTGAGCTCGTGTTCTTCCCCCATTGTTGACCTTCTTTGATCTTGCTAACTCTCAATCCCTCCATGGATTCTTGCTAGTTTTTGAGGGAAAAGAGAGAGGAGATCTAGATCCACATTTTCACCAATCACTTTCTCCTCTATGTGAGGGGAACCCCTTGGATCTAGATCTTGGAGTTCTTGGTGTTCTCCTTCTTGTTCTTCCTCTCATTTTCCTCCCTAGCATTAGTTGCTCCGGTGGGATTTGAGAGAGAAGGACTTGGGCACTCCGTGTGCCCTTGCCATTGCATTTGGTGCATCGGTTTGAGTTCTCCACGGTGATTCGTGGAAGTGAAGTTTGAGAAGCTTATTACTCTTGGGTGTTTGGGCACCCTAGACGGTTGGTGTTGTTCGGAGCTCAATCATTATGGTGTAAAGCTCCGGGCAAGCGTCGGGGTCTCCAATTAGGTTGTGGAGATCGCCCCGAGCAATTTGACGGGTACCGGTGACCGCCCCCAAGGGTTGCCAAAGTGTAGGGTTTGGTGACCGCCCCCAAGGGTTGCCATTTTTACGGGTTCGGTGACCGCCCTCAAGGGTTCCTTAGTGGAATCACGGCATCTTGCATTGTGCGAGGGCGTGAGGAGATTACGGTGGCCCTAGTGGCTTCTTGGGGAGCATTGTGCCTCCACACCGCTCCAAATGGAGATTAGCATCCGCAAGGGTGTGAACTTCGGGATACATCGTCCTCTCCGTGTGCCTCGGTTATCTCTTACCCGAGCTCTTTACTTATGCACTTTACTTTGTGATAGCCGTATTGTTTCTTGTCATATATCTTGCTATCTCATAGTTGCTTATCTTGCTTAGCATAAGTTGTTGGTGCACATAGGTGAGCCTAGTTGTTTTAGGTTTTGTGCTTGACAAATTAACCGCTAGGTTTATTCCGCATTTGTTCAAGCGTAAATCGTAATTATTTTAAAACGCCTATCCCCCCCTCTAGGCGACATCCACGATCTTTCATCGGCGTTGGTGTAGCTGCCGAGCCAGAAGCGACGGCCAACGTCAACCCTGTCTTGCTCTTCGAGAGCTTCTTCGGTGGCACGGCGACGACGGGGTGGTGGCGGTTGGGCGGCAGGCGAATAGGGGCAGCGACAACGCGGCGCGATTCGGGGCGGCGGTGCGACGGCTGTGCATGGGAGCGGCGGTCAAGGAGTGTCTGGGCGGCGGGGTGGCGAATTTTGGTGGCGGCAGTGGGGAACCGCGACGGCGATCCGAGGCAGAGCGGCAGATCGGTGGCGGAGGGGCGAGCGGGTTGGTTGACGAGCGGATCTGGCGTGAGCGAGTGGCAGCGGCAGTGCTGCAGGCGATCGGGGTGGCGACGGCTATGCAGCTGGCGGAGAGAGGAAGGAGGGGAAAGGAAATGAAGGGCGGTTGGCGCTCGACCGCTAGTTTTACATCTCCTGAAGGTGGAGATGTGAATTTGCATCTCCAGATGTTGTTTTTTACATCTGCTGGGCCAGGAGATGTAAAAGAATTTTCATCTACATCATCCGTTGGAAGTGGGTTTTTAACCTCAAAAATACAAAAGTTAGTTATTTTTACATCCACATCCTCTATTGGAGATGCTCTTAGAGATTACATTCTCGTCTGGCAATACTCATCACCTCATCCCCCCATCCAAGCCAAATCGCAACTCGATCCTAAAATGACTGGCATTATTGTTGCTATGATGAATATTAGTACTATAAGAATTATGTTCCCCCATACTTTGCTTGATCTCCATTATCATGATATGATTATTTTTAGCGCCAAATATTTGTACATGATGAGATCACATGATGATAACTTAGCTTCACTCGGCCGCCCGACTTCTCGGTCCTTATCGGTGACACCGAGGAGGTGGTAATGGTATTACAAGCCATCGCCGCCTCCGACCTCAAGGCCACCGTCGAAGACGCGGCAACGGTTGTGGTGGTAGCCGTGTCCATCGTTTGATGCCATTTTTAATGAAAAAACTTCCAATTTATTTATCATCAATCATAACAGTATAACAAACACCGGAAAAAAATTGCATCCAAATTCATAGACCACCAGTGGCGACTATAAGCACTAAAGCGAGCCGAAGGCGCACCACCGTCATCACCCCTCCCACGCCGGAACTAGGTAAAACCTGTTGTAGTAGACAGTTGGGAAGTCATCGTGCAAGGCCCTATAGGACTAGCAGACCAGAACAGCAACCGCCGCCGCTGAAGAGAAGCGTAGATCAAAAGGATCCAACATGAACACACACAAACATACACGAAACGAAAACTGGATCCGAGCGGATCCACTAAAGACAACCATTGACCAAGTGCAAGATCCGTCGGAATACGCCTTCACACGCCCTCCAACGATGCTAGATGCACCATCGATGCGGGGGCTTGACAGGAAAAACCTTATTCCATCTCCAGCAAGCCCCCGCCGTCTCGTCTTCCTGAGCAGGGCACAAACTCTAACAAAACTCAAAGAAACATATAAAAATAGAGCCTCCTTACCGGCAAAGGATAGGATCCACCATGCGCCCATGACCCTAAGGTCACAAGAAATGAGACAAATCGGCGCCGCCACCGAGGGGATGCAGAAACCCTAGCCGTATGCTCGCTTGATGCCCACATTGTGGTGCTCTTGTTGGACTTCAACAGGTACTAGGCCGGGGACAATGAGGTGATGCTCCTCTCTAGCGAGGTTAAGGGTTAGCGGTGGATGTCAGGCATGTTTGGCTCTCCGACGAGCATCATGGAGGCGGTGGTGGCTATGTCGTCTGGGCGACAAAGGGTGTAGCTGCGGGAGGATCGAGCTATCTCTATCTCGTCGACAGTGGCGACGCCCAAATCCGGAATTACTGCCATGCCTCGGCTAAATCACCTCTTGGGCATCTCCTAAAATATTATTAACCCCATATAACCTAGGAGGGTCGGGACAGCATTAGCTTTAGAAGATGTGTAAGAGGTGATTTAGCCCCACATGAGCTTGCATGCGATCTCAAAGCTAATATCAACCCAGCTAAATCACCTCTTGCAATTGCTGCCATGCCTCAGCTTCACAAACACGGGACAGGGTATATCACCAAGCGCAAACCAGAGCTCCGGAAACATCACAGGCAAGCTTCCGAGCTAGCAAGAGAACGGAGGCCACAGACTGCATTTTGCATTTTTCCCGCAGGCTTCTGCACAGCGATCACGCGCAGGAAACAAGTCCCGGAACACCCCAGGAGCCGGTACATAACACATTCACCAACCATTGCCACGGCACCTTCCTGTACATGCTCTTACATTTCATCATCATCATCATCAGTGTCTAAAAGCACCACATGAAGCGTCAGGCAAAACCCACCAGCTCTATCCTATTGTGAGCAGCATTGCCGCGGCCTCCTCTATATTTTCCCTTGCTCATGTACAGAGCTAAGGGCAGTCTACTTCTGCGGCGGCGCCTTGGTGGGGGAGGTCGCCATGGCCCGTAGCCTCTTGACGACCTCCGTGAAGCTCGGCCGCTCCGTCGGCTCGGCCAACCAGCACTGCTCCATCAGCGATCTCCACTGGGGGTCGCACGACTCGGGCACCAGAGGCCGCAGGGTGTTGTTCACGATCCCACCTGGTTGCAGTTGGCGAAATGTTCAGAGAAATAAAAGGAGGCATTGGACTCGAAACAAGTGAGTGCGTTTACTGCGGTGTGCATTACAGCAGAGGTTTGCAAGCGTACCTATGATGGCGCCGTAATGCAGGTCGGCGTAAGGCTCTTCACCGGTAAGCAGCTCCCACATCACGATTCCGAATGAGAAGACGTCAACCTGCAAACAGAGCATGTGAAGGTAAAATAGGGTGAGAAGTGGATCATGGGAAGGGGCCATGCGCACTAGATGTACGATGCAGCCGAACAAACCTTTTCAGAAACAAGGTTACTGCTGCCATTTAACAGCTCAGGAGCCATCCAGGGAAGTGTCCCTCGCACTCCACCAGAGATCAGTGTCTGGCATTTAACCTTTGATAAGCCCAAATCACCGACCTACAAACATAGCACTGTTATTGGCAAATCAAAAATCTACATGCCCGCTTTCTGTGCACCAAGGTGCTAGGACACAGAAGTTATGCGTTGCTGTTACAAGGATTGTCCGAACTAATTTTCCTAGTTGACAAAATATGCAGAAAACAGGGGTGTGAGATGGAGAGTATGGAGACCCTCACCTTGCATATAGGGCGTTGGGGATCTCTTAGATTGACGAGCAGATTATCACTCTTCAAGTCGAAGTGCACAATGTTCCTCCCGTGCAAATATTCCATACCAAATGCAACATCCATCACAATTAGTAGACGCCTACGCCTGTCGAATATCCTGCTGACAGAAGAAACTGACATTAAAAGTGTCACCATATGAGAAATATCATCTATTTGCACAGAACAGATAGAGCATACTTTTCATGTCTTTGTAATGCTTGTCGAAGCGAACCATTAGCCATGTACTCGGTGACTGTTGCAACAGATCCACCTGGTCCATCCAGAACAACACCGTAAAAAGCAACGACATTTGGATGGTGCAACGATGAAAGCTTGCAAGCTTCATTCCAGAAATCGGTTTTCTGCAGGTACGAAACAAAGTTAGAACGAGATGAACTGAAGATTGAAAAAAAGCGGCCGTAAGTTTAACACAGACCATGCGCTGTTCCTCAGAAGGTTTCCCAACAAAACATCGATCGCTTATCCTTTTTATAGCGACATCAGAACCTCTCCATTTTCCATGGTAAACAGTACCAAAGGTTCCAGAACCTAGTTCACGCAATTCTTCAAGATCACTGTTCTTTATTATCTGCAATTGTAAACGCGTAGGTAAGGGTGATGTATGTATTTAATAGTGCATATGGAAAGCGCACATATAATCAGCTTGTAAATCGTCGACAACCTGAAGGTTATCGATGTCATCTAGAACTGGAACTCCTTGGCTTGTTTTGTCTGACTGTTTGCTCGGCGCATCCTGAACAAAATAAATAAATAATTATTACAACTGATCAAAGTACAAAGAACTACAAAGAAAAGAAAAAATTGCCAGCAACCTCATTTTTTGGATCAACTACATCTCCAGGCAAATCTTTGTGATCCCCAGAAAATTCAGTTGGTTTTTCAGGAAATGGTGACTGCAGAACAGATGCTGCCACACCTTCCGCGACAGCTTGTAATTGCCGTTTGACAATTTCTTCTCCATATCCTTTCAGAGACAAAATCATATGACCAAAAAAATATTGATGTTAGTTCATTTCAATTCTTAAAGGACGTAACAGTTCAGTCTGTAGTGCAGAACAAATTATATACGATGAGAGAGTATACCATACCAACCTTTGCTTATTTGAGCAGGTTCTGGGTATATATCCTTGAAAGTAGGGTCATGAATGAGTGGAAGATTGCCTTCTTCTAATAGCATAGCAGCATTCGAACTTGTAATTGCAGGAATATGGCCATCCACATATGGATCTCCAGAAAGAACATGTTCCTTAGCCAACATGTTTGATGTTGGAGGTACTGCCGAAGCATTTCCAATTGCTTTCCAAGGATCCTGGTTTGAGAAAAGAGATTCTGTGTAAGCTGGTTCATGTGTAGCTTCGACACAATCAGTACTAGCAGCAGCCTGCAATACAACTTGACTACTAACATTATAGGGAGCGGAAACCATGCCATTCAGCATTTCCCCGGGATGATGTGCAGGAGGTCCAGCAGGAGACTGAACACCAGAGTAAGCAGGCCTCAAAAGAAATCTTTCGCTCGGAACAGGATGTTCAATGGGCAAACCAAGGTTGTTCTTGAGTAACATACTTGGCTGCTGGACAATCTCAGGATAGACATTGTTGGCACCAACATTTCGAGAGGGAGGTGGCTGTTCAGTATGTCTCACAACATTGTCCTCTAGGATAAAAGAAGGAACAGGAAAAGCATTGCTAGTGCCCATGTGATAACCTCCAGCTTGAGATTTGTATATGGGACTGCCATCAATAATAACAGGTGGCTTCTCAACTATCCCATCGCCAACAGCACCATGGGGAATAGCCGAGTTCCCTTGCACAATAGATTCTGGAGGAGCAATAGGACCTAACTGAATTCCTTGCATCCGAGCATCGATAGCTCTGACATAATCATGAGGAACATCATGGGCATATTCTCCAATTGGTTCTGCTACTGGATGATTTGAATTCTTAAATGCATCAATCCCTTGTGGATTGCTACTGACTCCATTTGCCAGGACTTGAGTTGTTTGCATACTGTAAGGGTGTTGCTGCTGACGTTGATACATGAGAAAATCTTCAGCAAGCGTGTGTGGAGGCTGCCCTACAAAAACTCCATTTGAAGTAGGTATACTGGAAACAGGTACAGTAACCATGGTTGGTTGAACCAACGTTCCTGCATCTTGAGATGGTGCTGCTTGAACTGCAGGATGTCTAGCAGAAAGTTTTGGATCAAACTGGGCCATCCCTGCTGTGCTCTCGGCTCTTGGTTCTGCTATGTAATTAGCAGGTGATACTGGAATTGCAGCTGGAACCTGTTGTTTGGTTGCATTCTCTTGATGGATGCTGTAAAACACTGGACTAGCATCAGGATAATTCACTGCGCCAGGATTTCCCTGTTCCTGTATCATGTTATCCGAATGGGCATGCGGCAGTATTTTCTGGCACATCGTGCAATCATCGTACCTCAGTGTTGGCACGGTAGCCGAGCTCACCACCACTGGGAATGCCCTTGAGCTCGTTATCACTGGTGAGCTTGCTGTGCTTGTGAGTACCGTCTGGACGCCATACCTCTGAGCATCACTTGCCTGCAAAGTCGTATGAGGCAGAGGAGGAAGCTCTGAAAGTGGCTGCAGCACCCTGCAATTCGGATCAACTGGAGTTTGCATTGGCCGTGAGAAATGAAGATTCTCCAGAACACGTTCTGTACCTGCAGAAACAGGCCTCAAAGCACCAATTTGGGCACCCGTGGTCGCCATGGAGTTTGTTCCCAGAGTACTGGGCACATACTGGCTCATGTGCGCATGCATCAGATTAGCGGATTGAGATACACCATGCAGACCAAATTGCTGTGCATTGACGTACTGGATTTGTTGAGGCTCTATGTATGATTGTGGCATTTGCGAAGTATAAGCAGTAACCTGAGGCAGCTGCTGCGGCGGCGCATAAGAAGCAACTTGAGGCTGCGGCGGCGGCGGCGCATAAGAGGAGGCAACCTGAGGCTGCAGTGGCGGCGCGTAAGAGGCAACCTGTTGAGCCGGCTGCTGATGCTGTGCATAAGAGGCAACTGGAGCCGGTTGATGCGGCGGCGCATAGGAGGCGACCTGATGAGGCTGCAGCGGTTGTGGCTCCGGCCTAAGCAACACGGGGTTGTGTGCCGGAATGCCCATTGCCGGAGCTGACGCGGCGACAGCACAAAATCCTAGTGACTGGGGAAAGGGACTAGTAGCATGGTTGGTGTGGCTCCCGGCCGAATACAAATATTCAGGCGGGACGGAAGGGGGCGGCACGGCCCGCGGCGACATACCTTCGGCGAGGCCGGCGGGCTCGGAGGCCTCGGAGGAGCCGCCGCTGGCGACGCTCTCCCTGCGGCGGACGGCGTCCGCGGAGACGCAGTTGATGGCGTCGATGTAGCGCTGCCCGGCCTCGTCGACGGCGGCGGCGGCGGGGAGGTGCGAGCCGGAGCCGGAGGCGGACGGCTCGGCCCCGGAGGCCGGGAAGAGGAAGACCCGCAGCTTGGCGGAGCCGTCGGGCGCGGCGGCGGCCAGCTTCTCGTACTCCTCCAGCATGTTGTCGTAGTCCTCGGCGCAGGACACCGAGACGAGCGAGTCCAGGTCCTCCCCGGGGAGCTGGTACTTGACGAGCATCCCCCCGCCGCCGGCGGGTCCGGCGGCGGCGGACTCGTCGACGGCCTCGACCTTGCGCACGAGGTCCCCGAAGGAGGCGGCGCGGGGCACGGAGATGAGGCGCATCTGGCCGCCCACGTAGCGCAGCGCCCCGTCCCCCGACCTCGGCGCGATCCGCCCCCCGTAGCTGCACAGCAGCTTCACCTTCCCCGCCCCCGCCTCCTCCTCCCCCGCCGCCGCCAGACGCGCGCCCGGGCTCCCCGTGTCCCCCGCCGCCGCCAGGCCGCCCCTGCACGCCATCGCCATCGCCCTGCGGAGTCGCTCACGGGGGGCGCGCGGAACGGCCGGAAGCGGTGGGAGCCGGGATAAACTCCAACTTCTCCTCCTCTGTATCCGCGCGGCCGGGCTGCGCTAACAGACCAGAAAGAGCGCGGCCGCTGGCTATATCCGGCCGGAGCGCGCGGTGGATGAATCAGTAGGATGGTACAGTAGCACGCGATGCGGCGAGAGCGACTGCGACGGTGGGACTGGACGGGGATGGGTTAAACTCGGCCGGTGCGGGCGTGGACCGGACTGGTAGAGTATACCACCTTTTTTTCGGTGGGGGGGTTGGGATTACTAATAAAAATCGTGGTGCGAGAAAGGAGGCGCGCCCGATGTATCCCGTGTGCGCATCTAGCGCTGGCACGATAGCATGAGGTGATGCATGGGCCGGCGTGTTTTGTGTCACGCGGGCTAGACGAGTGTGTGTGCCGACATTGGCTACGCACCACTCTTGTGCCGAGATTTCATGATTATAACGGCCATGATTTGATTAGCCGGCGCCCGCTACTGTATCGACGTTCGTCTTCTCTCGTCTGATGGAACCACTGATCCGGTGGCGGTGCCCGTGGCGCCCCTTGTTGCCGCGTGTGCTCCTGTAGCCCTGCCCGGGAAAGAGAGGCGCGCACGCAGACCACCTCAGCAGAGGGTTACTGTAAACTACTATGAACGCGCAGGTGGCCACGCGTCAGCCTCATCGTGGTCAGAGGCGAAAACAAACAAAAGCCCCGTGCGAGTGCAGATCTGATTGGGATAGTGTGACGGGATCCTCAGCAAAAGGCGGGCGATGCAAAACGTCGAAAAATTTGGAGTGAAGAGTAGATATGCATTACATGTATGGGTATTACTTGATGAGGTCCACTAATGATTGTTGACATTAGGCCATTAGTAGGGAGAAAATATAAATACACGATGGGGGTATGCCACAACACCATGCCTTGAACAAAGCTGAAGCCTACATCAGCCGAGCGCAGTTTCCTGTTTCTGCTAGTGCTCCAAGACCTTTCTCTCTAAAGAAAATAACAAACTAGCTAATCCCGCCCTGGTCACCATCGTCCGAAACGACAAGAGTAGACAAACAGTAGAGCAGATCTGAGAGCAGCCAGCCACTGAGCCAGCACCGCTTAAACCTAAACAAAGCCTGAGCCCCGCACCAGCCAGCCGCAGCTTCTCCCCCCCGCAAAACAAATCTTACCCTGGTCAAGCATGCGGCCCAGAGCAGCTGGCCCCAGTCGCAGTCACACCTGGGAACTCGCCGCGGCGCGACAGCGAGGCTCGCTCGGGGAGCGTCGTGAGGCCGTGACGAGGCGTCATCGCCCGTCGTTGTCGCACCGGCGCGACGGTCCCGCGGCGCAGGAGCACAAACAAACGGAGCAGCATCAGCCATGTCGCTGTTGGTGTCTCCCGGGATTAGTCTATTCGGTTGGGGGGCGAGACGGGGCTCGGGGAAATTCAAAACGGAATTTCCGTGCTTCGGCTCGAAGGAAGGGAGGTGGCGGGCGGAGGCGGCGGCGCGTGGCGACGGGGAGGGTGCGGGATGCGCGGAGGGGTGCGGGATTGGAAGACGGAGAGGGACGGACGGCATGGCGCCGCGTGGCCGCGGATACGTGCGGCTGCGCGGATGACAGCCGGGGGTGGTGTACGGCCTCGAGGCGGGCGGAGGGAGGCTTGGAGATGAGCTAATATCACCGGAAGTCATAGAGCGTTCAATGTTTAGTTTGATGCTAGAACTTTAAAAATACGGATTTGTGATTATTTAACTTGACATCGCGTGCAAATACGGTCACAAAATATGCATGCGGACATATCAGGGTGTATGGGCCTACTTGTCGGTGAGTCATGGCCTTTGGCCAACTGATTTTTGCACAAAACAACCTTACTATTTTTTATTTACGGGAAAGGCCAACCATTGTACAGCAGCATATTGATACGAAAATTAACGAAAAGGACCGACCTTTGTACAGCATATAGGTACGATAATTAACTAAAATATCAGCGAGGCGGGACTCGAACACACGACACAAATTAAGGATACAAGATCCTCAAAAAAAAATTGAGGACACGAGCCACTCTAGCCAACCAACCAACCTTTGACGTTCATATTTCAAGTATGGATAACAAACTAAGATGTATTGAACGTGGAGCCTAATGACATTTAATTTTTCGTACCTATGAGCAGTGGGTCCTACCTGTCATTGCACATTGAAAATTAACAGGAAAAATTGTGGCCCCCAGCTCTCGAACAAACAATCAAAGAGTGGCATACAGGATATTCTAGCCGCTACAACCTACACATATTACACATCTACGGTGAATAACTAGTCTTAATGTACTAGAAATATGTAAATACTACGTAAACAATAATTACAATAATAAAAATAACGTCTAAATATGTGTTATAAATATTGTACATACAGACTATATAACCTACTTTTAAATTTGTTCATGTATTTAAAAAATATTCATATATTTAATTTATGAATTATAAATTTTGTATCCTTTAAAATAAATATTTCCAAAATTAAAATTACAAATATCATTTTAACTTTACAAACATTTCAATAATTGTTCTCGCATTTGTAGAGTTCAACTTTTGCGTAACTTAAAATGTAAACATTGATATGAATATTCAATCATGTATAATATTGAAATTATATAATTTTTCAAATATAAGTCATGAGTAAAGTTTATACACAAGTGAATAATTTCGAAAATTTAGTAAATGTTTGAACTCATCATTTTGCATGATTTAAATATAAGCCTCGAGTGTGTTATTTTTTTGGATTCATTAAACATATTTATTTAATAAAAAAATCAATGTCAGTTTAACTAAATATTTTTTATATAAATATGCATGTGTATATTTAAATGTTTTTATTTACTAATAATGATCGCTTGTATGTATAATATTCTTGGAACATAAATTTGTTAATTATGTTTTACAAATATCTTTAAAAAATAGCAAGTGCAAAATGGGCCGCAGTATCCGCAGAAATAAGCCGGCAATGGCAACCCCCTTCCGAAAGACTCTGTTTTACAGCTCTGTCAAACCGTCTTGATGTGCAATTAGCCAATTAGTATCACTCACATTGTTTTACTGCTCCATTGTAAGTACTATGTTGATGGCATTATATTTTATCTTAATGTGTCAACCTACCGAATATGACTTCTGGTCCTGCTTAACGGAATCAACTGTAGCAGTACGTGCCTCTACATATTTTAGGTTAAAAAAAGGACCGGTAAAATAGCTTAAATGGGCTGCATATGTACACCAATTCCTCATAGATGCGGAAAAAAAATGGCATTTAAGTTCCACGTTCAATAAATCTAAGTTTGCTATCCATACATGAGATGCGAACGTGAAGGGTGGGTTGGCTGGAGTGGCTTGTGTCGTAAACATTGACCGCAGGTTAAGTATCTGCTCACCCATTTTTTGTGTTAATTTTTGTACCTATATGCAGCACAACAGTCGGTTTTTTCCACAAATAAAAAAATGTGAGGATGTTTTGTGCAAAAGTTAGTCAGACGAGCAACATCACTCATTGACAAATGGGGTCATACATCATGATACATCCGCATGCGTATTTTATGACCATATTTGCATGGGATGTCAAGTTAGACGACCAAAAATCCGTATTTTTAAAGTTTTAGCACCAAACTGAACATTGAGTGCAAGTTCTATGACTTCCGATGATATTACTTCTTCGGAGATTTGGTGACGGCGGCGGGGAAATAAATATCTGGTGCCCCAGTGCTCGTGCACCTGACCTCCGTGGCGTATTATTTTTACACAAAATTCAAAAATAAAATGAAATTTGAGCATATTCACATGACGCCAATGTTTTCTGCCGCAAAAATTTAAATTAATATTCGAAATATTGCTCGAGATACAAAAATCACAAATTTAACATTGAATAGCATGTAGTGGTATAAGCTTGGCTTTAGATTTGGCACGTTATCGCGCTGGAGTCAAATTTGGCATTTTTTGCATCTCGATCAATATTTTGAATTTTGATTCAAAGTTTCACGACGGCAAACGTTGATGTTGTGTGAACGTGCTCATTTTCTTTTCATTTTTTCTTGAACATTTTAAAATGTGCCAGGAGGTCCGATGCACCATTGTGCTGCCAGTGCACTGAATACGTCCCGGGGCGGCTTCCGGATGATATTGTGGGGGCTTAAAATTACTGTTTTGATCTTCTAACAAAGTTTGGCACGATTTAACCTTTTGCAAAAGAATTTCTCATCTAATTTTGTTCGGCGATGCCGACGTTTATGGTTTTTGGGTTGCATGAAAAACGTCATGGTCTATGGCATTTCCTTTCCCGACGTTTCTCCTGTGGGACTTGGCCTCTTCAAAAGATG